CAAAATGACAGGCAGTAAAAAATATTAAAGACTGGGGCAAATTATTTCTCCAAGTAACAAATTCATGGCAATGCTCTAAGACAGAATATTTACGATCATAAACATGTGATGGGAAATAATCAACAACAGAGTCAGCATTCTGTGCATTTTCACTATTCTCAGGAAGAGCTAGATGAATACTTTTTTTCACCCTTACCATGGTCTATGCCTCAGTGTGTGTCTATACATATATTTTTAATTTTTGTTTTATTTATTTTTTTTTATGTGAGGCTGAGGATTGAATCCAGTGCCTCACTCATGTGAGGCAAGCGCTCAGCCACTGAGCTACAACCCCAGGCCAGATGCCTCAGTTTATATTTTGCAAAATTTTAAAGATGAAAAAGCTACAAACTTGGGCTGGGGATGTGGCTCAAGCGGTAGGGCGCTCGCCTGGCATGAGTGCACTCGCCTGGCATGAGTGCGGCCCGGGTTCGATCCTCAGCACCACATACAAACAAAGATGTTGTGTCTGCCGAAAACTAAAAAATAAATATTAAAAATTCTCTCTCTTTCTCTCTCTCTCTCTTTAAAAAAAAAAAAACAATAGATTAAGGATAACTTTAAAAAAAAAGCTACAAACTTTTCTGATATTTTAAAATTATATCTACAAATGCTGGGATTACACGGTATGTATGCCTGTAAAGGTATGTATACCTATAATCCCAGTGATTTGGAAGGCTGAGACAGGAGGATTGCAACTGAAGGCCAACCTGGAAAAGTTAGCAAAACTGTCTCAAAATAAAAATAAAAGGGGCTAAGGATATAGCTCAGTGGTAAAGCACACTGGGTTCAATCCCATGTTTTTTTAAAAAAAAATACAAATATGTATATATTTTTATAAGTAAAACATAAACTGAAATTATTTTAATTTTTAAACATTTAATTTTGCAACATTTAGATTCATTAAGAAAGTTATTTCCATTAATTATGCCAAGATCACTTGAGACCATAATATTATTATTCCCACTGTGAATTTATTTAAGTTTAGATTAATTTAACAGTTACATATTATTGGTCCTCCTGTAAATAATGCACTTAAAAAGAGTTCTTAAACACAACTTTCAGTATGCCTTTACTAGTTGCCTAATGCCTTCTTTTCTGCTGTTACTAAAACTATACTATTAAAAATACAACATTTACTAGTGTAGAACAAAACATTCCCTAAACTGTACCTAGGACATGAGGCCTTGGAATTTCACTTTCCTCCTTCTCAGATGTTGCCATATGCTTTTTTTAAAAAAATATTTATTTTTTAGTTGTAGTTGGACTTTATTTATAGGTGGTGCTGTGGATCTAACCCAGAGCCTCACATCGCTCTACCACTGAGCCACAACCCCAACCCTTGCCATATGCTTTTGATTCCATAAACTGTACAATTATAAATAATCATTTCATAAATCATGAAGTAGTTATTAATTTATCTACATATAATAACTCTCAAGTGGTCTTCTTACTCTATTTTTTGTGGGGGCAGTGCTGGGGTTTGAACCCCAGGCCTTGAGCTTTCTAAGGAAGTTCTACCACTGAGCTACGCCTTCAGCCACATCAGGTTTTTAAAAAACATTCTGAAGCAACAGAAACATAAAATTTGCCAAGATACATACACACACACACACACACACACACACACACACACACACACACACACACATTTGTTCTTGGTCAAAGAAAAAAAAATCTGAAAACATGCAATTTTCAGTTTAATGAGAATTCCCTCCTGTCCTAGTCAGTTCTGTCATTTTAGCTCCAGACACCGGGTGTTCATTTTGGTCAATTAATCATCCTTCAGTTAGTCTCAAAATATGAGAAAGGTTAATTCTAATAATAGGATACTGATTCTTTTAGTGATTCCTAATTTTTTTTCTTTAAAAAAATCAAGCAGTCATATGATAGTTCTTAAAAAAAAATTATGAGATCACCATGTGAATTTGGCATTATTTCTTAAAAGGAGTACAAGAAACAGAGTGACACTGATATAATATTCCCTGGTAAAGCAAGTTAATATTGCGATTGGCTATTGAACTCTGAATACAGTCCCTTTTATATGAAAAAAACACTTAGTTTATAGACCAATGGTACATTTTACCAAAAAAGTAAAAATGTTTTTGTTTTTAACAGAGGCAGGTTTTCAAACTGTTTTATGAAAAAGTAGGAGAACCCCTACTGTCTGAGAAAGCTTACTAAATCTCAAAGTCTATCTCTTCTGAACTATACTATTAAGTAAAAAATTTGGGTGTCAACCCAAAGTGTTCAGGACTGGGAGTCATGGAAGAGGCATCTTAAACAGACAAGTTTCTGGTTTTCTAGAGCTAAGAAGGATATACAAGTTAGCTTGATTAGGAAGTATATTATTAAAATGTAGAATTATTCTGAGGATCTTTTGGACTGTGATCAGGATCTTAGAGATGAGACACACTGAAAGGAAGGTATATTAGTGACTAAGGATAAACAAGGCTAATGATTTAAGGATAAGAGTCTAGGGTGAGTTTAAGAACACCGGATCTGGCATTTTGCTAAATTTCAAAGCAGAGCTCTACATTTAAACTTGTCAATTTTTGAAGAGGAATTTGGCTCTCTTCAGGTCTACGGCACAGTGTTTAAGTTCTGCCCAGTTTGGTAGTATCTGCTTCCATCAGGTAGATTGCTGAAACTCAAAAACTCATTCCTGTGGTTCTAGACCACTCTTTCCTGACAGAGATTTCCAAGAATGGAAATCTCTTTTTTGGTAGTAATTATCCATAAGATCCTTTACAGAGGGCTGGGGTTGTGGCTCAGTGGTAGAGTGCTTACCTAGCATGTGTGAGGCCCTGGGTTCGATCCTCAGCACCACATAAAGATAAACAAATATTTGTCCATCTACAACTAAAAAACATTAAAAAAATCCTTTACAGAGACTTTCACTATACCCATTAATAAATCTGGTCCTTATATAAAGGCTATATGACATAAATGTCATCCATATTCTTCATCTCTATTATTTTCCCCCTTTCAATTCTTTATTTTCCATAATTATTCTCTATTTTCTTTAATCCTTCAAGATCTTTTCCTTGGTAACTGCAGGTTATGAATAGAGAGCATACTAGGAATCTGTCTTGAGTCAGCCTGGAATAAATGCAGCTTTCATATCTCTTATTTTCTTATCTTCTTGTCCTGAAATTCTATTTTTTTCTGACATCTCTCCCTGTTTCTACCTCCATTCTTCTTCCTACCCAGAGGCCACCTGAAACATGCAGAATAATAAAAGGTGATTAACCAATATTTGTTCCCATAAAATTGTTCTCCTATGTAAGCATGGTGGTGCATTTCTGTAATCTCAGCTGAAGCTGAGGCAGGAGGATCACAAGTTCAAGGTCAGCCTCAGCAATTTAATAAGACCCCTTTCCAAAATAAAAAAAATATATATATAAAGGGCTGGGGAATGTGGCTCAGTGGTAGAGTACGCTGAATTCATTCCTTAGTACTGGAAGATAAAAAAAGCTATAAACAATAATGTAGGTATATCTGTATAAAAGAAAATACAAACAGTAGTCTTTTTAAAAAAATATTTTTAGCTGTAGATGGACATGATATTTTAATTTTATTCATCCATTTATGTGGTGCTGAGAATCAAACCTACACATGCTAGGCAAGTACTCTACCAATGAGCCACAACCCCAGCCCCACCTTTTCTATGACAAATACATACAGGCCTTTGCCTATCTTTATGACTTTATGACTTATTACACTTAAAGACCCTGCATTGGTTTCCAACCCTTTTTGGTCACAAATACCTGAAGGACACGATATTCCCATCTCTAGCTGTATTGTGAAGGTTAATTTTATGTATCAACTTTGCTGGCTTATGGTGCCCAGATATTTAGTCAAATATTATTCTGGATGTTCCTGTTTAGGTGTTTATTCTTTTTTGGGGGGTGGTAGGAGAGGTACTGGGGATTGAACTCAGGGGCACTTGACCACTGAGCCACATCCCCAGCCCCCCCTTTTTTTTTTTTTGTATTTTATTTAGAGACAGGGTCTTGCTGAGTTGCTTAGTGCCTCTTTTTTGCTGAGGCTGGCTTTGAACTCTCGATCCTCCTGCCTCAGCCTCGTCAGCCTCTGGGATTACAGGTGTGCACCACTGCACCTGGCAAGTTGTTTATTCTTGAGATTAATATTTCTCAAGAGTGGACTTTGAATACAGCAAACTACCCTTGATTTGTTGATGGGCCTCATTTGATCAACTGATGGTCTTAACAAAGACTGACCTCTTCCAAGTAAGAAGGAATTCTCTCAGCAGACTGCCTTTGGACACAAACCTCTCTCTCTCTAAAGAAAGAACAGAGGGGAAGAGTGAGGGGTGAWAAGCTAGAAACAGTGGTGCCAGCAACTTAATGAGACTCTATCTTGAAGAAAGAAAAAGAAAAGTTGGGGATGTAGTTCAGTGGTAGATTGCTCCTGGTTTCAATCCTGATTACGGGGGGGTGGGGGGGGAGTAAAAAAGGTAAAAGAAAAAGGCTACACTCAAGTCTCCATTGAGGATAGATAAGATTGGACACTGTAATGGGAAGGAATTGAGCTAGAAAAATTTCCTGAAAGTAGCACTAGTGAAGGAAGCTAAGGAAGGATATCTTTTAAAAAGGTCTTTGAACATAAGGCATGAATAATTAGCAACATTTGCATTCTGTAACACACTAGTGAATTTACCATAAAAATTTATCTCAGTACACTTTTAGATTGCTGATATTAGAGAACTAGGGAGGGTTACTGTGCAAAATCTCATTTATAAGTCATTAAGAAAAAAACTTATTGGCAAAGTTGTTAAAAAAAATTAAGGGTCTAAACCACATGATTTTTAAATCTATGGTATCATAACTTTAAAAGTAATGAAGGATGAACCTCTAAAAACAAGATTTTCTCCATATCTACCTATAAAAAGAAAAATCCAATGCCATCAGATGATGACTTTAAAATTCTGGGCTTACCTTTTTTTTCTCCAGTGTAGGGCACATAGTCTTCCCTGTCCTTTTGCTCCAATGCTTCCTTCTCCAGATATGAAAGGAGGTGTTCTCTATCAAAAGGTCCTGTGGCAGACTTTGACGTCTGATTTTTTTGCCGGAACCCTGCAGGCAGAAGGGCATTCTGCCAAAGAGAATATATTGGCCATTATTACTACCACGAATGCCAATATTAAATGTTTCCATATATTTCCCATATAAAAAAGAATTACAGACTAGAATGTGATGTAGGCGTTAAACTTCACTGCTGGATTTCAAGGCAGTAATATAAAAATGATCCAAATGAAGAACTTGTTTTTTTGAAAATAGACAATTCATTTACATTACTGTTAAAATAGGTACCTACATATTTTCTTCAGAAAGTATTCTAATAGCAGGAAACATCCTTTAGTTTTTAAGTGTCCAGGGATTGTAATAAAAAATAATTTTCTTAATACTTAAAAACTGCTAGGCAGGGGCTGGGGTTGTGGCTCAGTGGTAGAGTGCTCGCCTAGCATGTGCACGGCCGTGGGTTCGATCCTCAGCACTACATAAAAATAAGTAAATAAAATAAATGTATTTAAAAAAAACCAAAAAAAAATTGCTAGGCAATTATGTACCGAAGACTAATTCTATCACAAAAGAATTTTAAATGACTATACATGATATTCCCTCCTAAAGACTTCCATTTAATCACACATACTTTTTCATGATATACATACATATATACACAAACACACACACATATACACATATATATGAATATAGGCTATCAGGAGATTAATATTCACTTGTTTTACATAGACATAATAGGAATGCTTCCACACTATCCACTACGTGTTTGTATAGTGCATACATGAGCACTAGGATGGACTTATATTGATTACTGTCACTGCTGCTCAAGGCCCAAGGCATTCTTAAGATAAAACCAGAATTCAGCTTCCTTGGATTTTCATGTGGACATATAGTCTTTTTGAGTGCATGGACTGAGAGTGGGGATTAGGGGAAGAAGGATGATGGATTCAACTTAGTTGTCTAAGGCAGTCCCTACTCTATAAATTTTCATGAAGCGACGAATAACACAGGGTGACAAGATAACGAGAGCATCATCTTTTTGTTTATCAAAATCCAGAGATGAGAATGCCTTAAATCCTATTTCTGGTATTCTTTTCCTTGACAAATGAAAGTCAGTCAGAGAAGTCACACCTCTTTTGTAACACCTCCCAATATTGGCAATGATGCTGAATCTCATAGTGCTATAAGTCAACTTTTCATTATAAAACTTGCTCTTACAGCTGTGCACAGTGGTGCAGGCCTGCATTCCCAGAGAACTGGAAGGCTGAGGCAGAAGGATCCCAGGTTCAAGGCTTGTCTCAGCAACTTAGCGAGATCTTGTCTCAAAACTAAAAAAATAAAAGACCTGGGTGTGGGGAGCCACATTGAGTTACTATGCCTTCTAGTCCTGATGCACCGTGGGGATGTGAAAGATCACTGTAGTTCTGGTGCAGTCGTACCATGATTCGTGACTCAGTCCCTACCCCTCTTCCCGCTCGGACAGCAAGGCCAGGATTCTGAGTAGGCATACCCCTGGGGTTGAGCGTCACTCATCTCTTCTTTTGTAATCCTACCCCATTAGCCCTGTTTGGGATAGAATGTCCCATGAAACCACCCTTTGTGTGTCCCCCTTCTCTTGTTCTTGTTGGGTGTGGCCTTCCTAGATGTCAGTCAATCTGTTGATAGCAGACATCATGGAGCTAGACTCAACCCCCACCCCCAATCTGACCCCTTGCCTCATCTGAATGGCTTCTCCCCAATAAAAAGGTTCAGCACGATCTCTCTCTCTCCCCACCTCTCTCTCTCTCTCTCTCTCTCTCTCTCTCTTTCCACGGACCCCCTAAGGTCAGAGGAGCTGTCACAGGACCCAGAGAAAAAGGTATCTCTGTCTCTTGTGTGATTATTTCATGCAGCCCAGTTCACTTGGAGTGACCTTGAGTATCTTAGTCATGAAACTTGAACTGTAGCTCAGTGATAAAGTGCCTATAGGTTCAATCCCTATTACCAAAAAAGTAAAAAAAAAAAAAGGTAATCTTACATAAGTAATGATAGTAGAAAATGCTCACAACTCTGCATTTATACCTAATTACACTTCAACTCTGGCCATTTGCTGGAATCAATAATAATTTTCATAAAATTCAATTTGGTGTTCCCCTTAATGTAATGGTTCTTATTACATAGAAGGCTGACCTATAAAGATAAACCACAGGCGCACGCCAAGCCAGATCGGAGGAGGAAGCCGCCCCGCACGTGCGCCAAGCCAGACCAGAGGAGGAAGCCGCCCTGCGCCAAGCCAGACTGGAGGAGGAAGCCCAGCCCTGCCCCATGTGCTAGACCAGAGGAAGCCCAACAACCCTTAAAACCCATCAAAGGGGGTGTGGCTACCAGCACGGTTCTGCGGCTGATCCAGGTACCCGGTTTCCAACTCCCCTACCCTTAGCTGCGATAACTCAAAATATTTCCCAAAGCTTTGGGGGTTGTAGCTATCAACGCAAAACAACAACTGTACAGGCACCTGGTTTCTACCTCAGAGACTAGAGTAGGGAAGATACAGGTGGAAGCTCATTTCCTTTCACACTGGCTATACCCACCACCCTGAATACAGAGGCTCAAGCTAGGAATAGACAACGCCACCTACTGGAAGCAAGGAAAACAGTGTTCTGAGAGACTTT